GAGGAGGAGCAGGAGGTGGAGAAGGAAGAGGAGAAAGAGAAGGAGGAGGAGGAGGAGGAGGAGGAGGAGAGAAAGACTGTGGGATCCCTGGTCCTTTCTGAGCTTGATGTTTTCCTGCAGACATTTCATTACCAAACTAGGTAATATCATCAGTGCACAGGGAAACGTCTGCGAGAAAACAGCCAAACTCAGAAATTCACCAAGGACCTCACAGTACAACCCTGAGCTGCAGATATTCTCTTCCATCAGATGGGGGTGAAAAGGAGCAAGAGACAATACCGTTCGGATAGTTTATGTCACGATAAAGAAGCCAGTTCCCAGAGCATACATTTTATCTATTAAATTATTATTTATGACATTCGTTTGCCGCTCGTCTCTCTGCAAGGCGACCTTGGGGGATGCTTTATGATGGGGAATGTTAGCCTGCTGTTGTTTGGCAAGATTCCGTCCACGGGTGAGGAACCCTAAGGAAACCTCCTTGGAAGAATCACAAAAGGTCTTTCTTGGGTTTTGCAGCCTGGAGCCCCTGCTTTAACTGGACTGTCGAGGGGGTTGGACAGCTCGCACCTCAAGGTCATCTTAAAGGGACTTCCTGGGCGGGACTTACTGATGGTAGCAGCTAAACACACACTGCTCCCGTATTACCAGTGGCGTTATCTGTTAAGATGATCATCTATCAGACATCTGACAGACACACCTTCCTCTTCGGGAAAAGAAGGGAATGACGTTAAATCTCAAATATTCTTTCGGTACCTCACATGATGAAAGCCGGCTTCGCTGCACCTCCAGTTCCTTCTTAAGATTTTCCTTCTCGTTTGCTATCTCCGCCAGTTGGTTTCGGAGATCCTCTACCTGGTTAGACGACAACGAAAACCCAAAGATTTTATTCCGATTGTGACGTTCGCCTATTCGGGTATCTGATGACTTCTTTTGAACCGAACTGAAAACCCTAGATACGGAGTTCCTAATGGACTTTAGAGTTATTGGCTAGTTGAGTTCACACAAGATGCTGAACTCGACTAAGATAGGCTTTGGAGTTTGCGGATGGGAACCAGGAAAGTGAAGTTTTGAGCCTGCAATAGGGAAGATGCTTCGGATCGACACATTCCCAATGAGAGGGTCAATCACCGCTAGGGTGAACTGCAAGTCACCCCCAAGCCAAAAGATGGCTTCTGGTTTGAGCATTTGAGGTCGCTTATAGGCATTAGAGAGCCAAGGTGGCGCAGTGTTTAGAGTGCAGCACTGCAGGCTACTTCGGCTGACTGCAGTTCGGCTGTTCAAATCTCACCGGCTCAGGGTTGACTCAGCCTTCCATCCTTCCGAGGTGGGTGAAATGAGGACCCGGATTGTTG